TATATATATATACATTTAGTCGGGCCGATAGATGGGCGTCTTGGGTATAAATTCAATTAAAATAACATACTCCATCATGGAATTGGAATCACATTGTTGCTTATGTAAACGCCAGTGCAGGCCGAGCTTATGATATAAATGACTATTTTCCCACTCGAGCAACTTATCCAGAGTCAGTTGCGTCTGCAAGCAAATGATAAGAGGACAGTTAATATCTATTGCCATTGTCGGAGAAAAATATGCATGAATATGATTAAAGCTTCAATCTTACGCGTTTGCTCAAACATATGACCGGCCAGAGGGAGCAGCCCAGGGTGCAGCAACAGCAAACGCAGCCGCAAAAGAGCCACTTGACATTCAGGGGCAGGGTCTTCTTTAGTATGCCATTGATGCGACCGATGGTCGCTTTGAATTCCTCCGGCGCAACGCGCGATAGCAAGCCGCAGGGAAATTCGGAATTAAACCGATTGCTCAGGCCAAAGCTGCAATGCAAGAAAGAAGAAATTCGTATACGCAATTCGCATTCTGTTTATATTTATCTAATTCAGTTATGCAACCTGTCAGTCCGTCAGTCAGTCAATCAGGTAATCAATTATTGACAACTGGCCGCCAAATAGCACAAGGTCAAACGCATGTGCTGAACGCCTGCTATCAATGTAAACAAAATGAATACGAGCCAGAGAACACTCAATTTTTAGGTATCAAGAGCCTTGAGCTACATTGAGAATTAATACATTATGTATCAGCGTATAACGCATATATGTATGTGTACATATATACATTATACTTATTTCATTAGTCTTCACTTACACAGTCATGTTGCCCGCGCCTCGTATGATAATTGGTTCGGGCACTGGCATCACTGTCTGATCCTGGAAATGCTCTAAGTCATCCAGCTGCTCATCCTCGTAGATGGCATCGAAATCGGAGAACGACATCGCTCCTGCTTTAGTTGAAGGTTGTTAATATTTACGCTGAGGGATTGGTGGCTCCGATGGATGCTCGGTGCGTCACAGAGAAATTGTTTGCAACGCTTGCAAGGAGATCAACACATTTTTCATTTGACTTATAGTTGCGTAAATTGTGATTGTATGAGTGCGACAGTTGCTGTTCAAATAAAATCTCCGTCTGAGTGTTGTGCCTTTGGTATGATTGTTGTTCGCTCGAGACTCTAAATGAGCGCAGCCGTCTTTGTTGTTACTGTTATACGGTTATTGCTGCTGTTGTTGTTGTTGATGATGTATGTAGCTGTGACTGGCGCTGGCGCTGGCGCTGCTTCCGCCATACGCATTGACGTTAACTGCGCTGTGGCATGGACAGATATCAGCTGTGACGTTGACTTCCTTAATTGCGTTGCATTACAAAAAGAAGGCACACAACTGGAGTATATGTATTAAAATTGAACACTAAACAATAATCGCACTGATATACATATGTAAGTAAATGTGCGTGTATGCGATTCAGCCAGCAATTTTTCTGAAGGTTGTGCAACACTGGCGTTCGTCTGCTTTTGTTATTGTTGTTGCTATTGCTGCTGCTGCTGGTGTTCCTGTAGTGGGGGCCAAAGCAATGTGCATTCGATTTTGTTTGCTGCGTATTTCGCAATCACTTTTTCACCTATTGCTTACAATTTTGAACTCAATTCGTACACATTTTAGATTTATATACTTATTTTCATCATTTTCTGGTTATAAGGCGAATTTAAAATATTTACGCAGTTATTTTTTCTACACTTTTTGTGTTTTGTAATAATGAAAATAGGTTCTTTGCTTTACATTTGTTGTTGCGAGACAACCAGCTGGCAGCTGTTTACGATTTAGGGTTGCCCAACCGTTGCAAAAAGTGAAAAATCTCATATTCAAACATGGGAATGACCAGCGTGTTAATATTGATTTATTAATTAGCTATATTAATAAATAATTAAAGTGTATAGTTATATATAATTATAATATATATGGTATATGTGTATAGCATATATAAGCGTATGTTCTAACTAATAGTATAAATTATATTGTGCACAAATTCGACAGATTAGCGAGCATCAATTACTTTGCAGCAATAACAAAAGCATTAATGTATATCAAAAATGACAAGGCATATTTTGTGTCGGTAGGGAGCGCTCATCCTTCTACTTCTTTTTTGATGCACTCGGGCTCGTCGATTGAAAGACAGAAGAGGCGGACATCAGATTCTCAATATATTGACCAAGCACTTGATTTTCAGAGCGTAATTTTAGATTCTCTTCCTTGACAGAGTCCACGCGCTGTGACAAATCATCCAGAGTATTTTGTAACTCCAGAACCTGCGTAATCAAACGAGATTTTTCCTGTATGTCATCCGGCCCCACGTCAAGGGTGTCAAGCGAATTGTGAGATGAATCTGGGGTTGAGCTCTGATTGGTAAATGAGGAGCGCAGTGAGTCCATAGAGCGACCATTCGCGATGTTTTGCGTTGTTGAGGGCTCATCATCGTTGATAATAACTATAAAAGAACCAATGAAATTATAACTCTTCCCACAGTTGGACGCGCCCAACTGTTCCACATCCACATCAATACAATTAACATACCTTGCGGATCTTCGTCAATCGCCATTATGTTATCATCGTTGTTGATTATCGACATGATGAATTATGTTATAGCTATGAGTCAACTATCAATTAAATGAATTTTTTGATTTTATTAAGAAAAATTACACGAATACTAAACTACCACTTTTTGGTTAAAAATACGCTATTCCACACTAGCTTTCCATCATTTTACAGCACTGTTACATTTAATTGGAAATTGAGAAAAGAGGAAGCAGCAGTTCCAACTAGAATCTTAATAGTTTAAAACTCAATCAATAATATTAAAAAAATATCATGTCAACATAAAATTTATGTTCGTTGAATAAGAAATTTTTATTCACTGCCTAAAAGTGGTGCCCCTATTAAGCATATCACTGATGGAAACAATAAACAACTGTTGCTTTTGCTTAACGTTATGAAACGCCGTTAGAGGGAAAATTTTCAATAATTAATAGCAATGTTATCTTAAGATATGCTCAAAGTTATGTTTAAATCAACAGTAAGAAAAAACAAAATGAAAACTCTACTCAAAATCAATATTTAAAGCTAATTATTTTAAAAATAACCGAAATGAGACTTATTGTAGAGTTGCCACCTGGGAAGCATTCGATCGACGAATTAAAATACACACGCATGCTTTATGCCATTATAGTTTTTAACGTTGAACTGAAAACAGGTCGTTTAGTAACTAACTACAAAACTCAAAACTATAAGGTTGTGCTGAATTCTAATACATTGTCCTGATGAAGCGTTAAAAAGTTCACATGTATTTACTTATATATACATATATATACTTGAAGTGTTGCTCTATAGTCAAAGAATGGTTAGCATTTGCGCAAAGTATATAAATATACATTTCCGTATAGATGGATAACAACTTTGTAATATCTCTATAACTAAGAAGAGGTAATGTTTATCTTTTATCCAACTGTTTACATTTTCAATGTTAACTTTTTCCATTTATAGTTCTGTATGTTCCTGCCAGCCAAAAGCAAATGGTAGAACAATTTCTCGGAGTTGAATTCATCTTAACTTTCAAAGGTAATCATTGTTTATGTTTTACATCATCTAAATTTTAAAGTAAATGCGAATTTTACTATGCTTTTGGCATAATAAGTAAAGCCCAGATAAGGTATGTACATATGTACATACATATATGTATATATGACATTGGCATCAGTATAGTCATAGTCATAGATATACGTAACAACTGTGAATTGAAAAATTTAAAGACTAATTTGTTAAAGATGCAGTTAACGTAGCTATAAATCCGGCACGTGGGCTTGAGCCATTGGTAAATGTTGTAAATGTTGTCTAAGCAAATATATAAATCTCTATGCAGCATACCAACAATTTATAGCAATATTCTTCATTCGAAGTGCTGCCAACTAGATTGAATATATGCAGTGTCAAACAGGCGCGCAAATTAACGGCGTCTTATTACTCATTATAACCGGCAATTTATCATAAATATGTTTACTTTTTAGAAATCAATACATTCTACTTAATATCTTAAACTTTTCAATTGTTACAGGAAAAATCATGTGTCGATCTAACTGAAACCTTTTTAAAAATCGAGCAACAACGTGGAACTGCCATGTTTGGCAGATAAAATACTACAGCGCAAAAAATCCATAATTAAATACTAACATTTGCAAAACAGTTAGCGCGTGATAATATTTAATATATACATAATCAACAGGATATATTTAAAATGTTGTGCTAAATATGAAAGCTTTTAAACCCTAATACTCACCATAGTAAAATACTATCCATATTAAGCGAAAACGAATAATTAACCGCGGAAAAAATACCGAATGTTTGGGCAAAGGTGTAGTGATTGAATAAAATGCCAAAACTTGTGCGGCAACGTACGAATTCTTTTGCCTGCAGTTGAAAAGTGTAAAAAGACGCCATTTGAGTTGACTTTGAATAAGTTTTGAAGGAAACAGTCAAATACTAGTGTCCGTGCTGTCAATCGAAAAGAAACATTAAAGTTTGAAATCAAATATAATAAAATTAATCATGTTGCCCGCCAATGTGGGAACTGTAAATCCCCAACGAGAAGTGCCCAAGACGATGTCGCCTGTAAAATCATTCAGCAACAAGGCAACGGCCACGGTCAAGCAGCCCGAGGAGATGCGTTTTGTGCCCATTGCCCCAAAGCCAGCCAAACCCTGTAATACAACTATTAACAACTTTAGCAACACTAAAAATAACTACAATAATAACAGCAGTAATACTTGTAAATTTAATAGTAAAATTAGTAAAAAAATTAACAATAATGCATCGTCTGCCATTAAACCGAAACTAACGCCAATAAATGTGGTACCGAAGCCATTCAAAACTAATTTTCACCATAATCATAATTTAACAGCACCGGTGCCGCCTCTTATACAACTGGTTAGTAATGGACCCAATGGGAATGCCAGTTCTCTGCTCTCAATATTGACGCCTAAAACGCTGCTCAATCCCACTTGTACCAAGACCAATGTCCAGACGGTTGTACCTGCACAGGGTAATCCACAATTGCAGTTGCAGTCACAACCACAACCACAGGCACCGCCACAGTCCCAGCCACAGGCACAAGCACCGCCTATGCTCATACGATCGGCCACCACGCTGGCTACCGTGCCGACCCAGCAACAACAACCACAGCAGCAGCAGCAACAACAACTACAACCACAGCCGCAGCAGCAACAGCAGAAGCAACAACAGAATCAGCAGCAACTCCAGCAAAATGCTGCCATTCACAATAGTCCGATTCAGTCATCAGGAACAGCTGCCGTCTCAACTCAGACGCAATTGATAAATATGGTGGCTGCCAAAGGTTCGCTTAAAACGGGTAAGTTCCATTTTAGTACTTATATAATAGAGATTAAGATTTGAAGTTCGATCGTCATATAGCATAGCCCTATATGTACGTCTATACATACATATGTAATTGTTTGTGTTGTCTTCCATGCTGTTGCTGCTGGCGCTGCTGCCTCGTTTCGATTCGATTTCGGTTTTGCCTTTCAATCCATTTCATTTGCTGCGAGTCGCTCATTTAGTTTGTTGTCGCTGGTCGCGCTGAAATGAATTTCTGACCGTGTATGTATGTGTGTGTGTGCGTGTGTGTGAGTGTAGTCTTTTATTATTACTATTATACATTATACTATTGTTATCATTGTAGCTGTCTATTTAACTAGCGATATTACTGCCGTTTAACGACTTTACAACTTTTTTTTCTCTATTTCATAATATTAATTAGTTTGAGTACGAAAATAAGTTTCATGTGGCTATTTTCAGATTTATATAGTTCACGTTTTTCCGTTTATGTTAGTGCTATTGTTGTTGTTGCTGATTTTATTAAATCGATGGACAGATGATTTAACTGAAATTCATTTTCTGGTTTTAAGCTGATGTCACAAACGTTTTATGTGGCAGTTTCTGTTTTGAAGAGGCTAAAAGTCACTTGTAAATATAACACTTAAAATGTTTTATTCTGTTTTTGCTTCTTTTTTTCTTCTCATTGTTGTTGTTATTTATCAAAGTTATGTGTGTTCGACATGAATGTATATATATATATATATGCTAAAGTTGCGGGCGGGCGTGCACATCGTCTATGACGATGATCAGGTTTTTGCAGCTGCAGCTGCCTCAAGCGAGCGAGTGAAGAAAACATTAAGTTGGTATTTTGTATAGCAGGAATGCAGCGAGGACAATACTTCAAACTTTCGAATTTGTAAAATGGAATTCAACAAATATTTAGCAGACTAGCCTTTCCCGAGTGACTCAACATTACCAACAACAACAACAGCAACAAGAAACATTCATTTTTATCAAAGTATATAAATTGATATATATTTACATATATATATAAATACATATATATATGAATGTATATATACATACAAATATATCTGCGTAGAATGTATGCAAGTATTCATACGTAAACACGCTTTTTCCTGTATGCTTATATAAATTTACTGCATAATGTTAATTTCGTTTTTTGTTTTTGTTCTCTGCTTTCAGCCGCTGCTGCGCCAGCCCAAATTTCGTTGCTGTCGAAAAAACAAACTCCGGTTATATTGAGCAAGGCGGCTGTGGAGAAAATCCGATTGAAATTTGGTCAGGTGCAGGCTCAGGCTAATTCCGGTGCGCTCGTCTTGACCAAACCACTGAAGGCCAATTGCAACCAAAACGGCACTCAAAACGCTAACAAAAACAACAACAACAACAACAGCAAAAACAATTTGAACTCTAAGTCACCGCCTGGCACTGGGTCCAGCTGCATGCCCACGGCAACGAACACTCCTCCTATGCCTCCGCTGGTGCCCACTTCGATGCCTACATCCATGGCAATGGCCACCAACGCTTTGCCAGAGATCAAGATTACTCCACTACCCGCAGCTCCAGCAAATAGCACCAAAATTATGAAAGTACAACCAAGTCCTATGGCTGTCATTGTACCAGTGACGCCAGTGACGCCCGCCCCGCCACTAGCGCCAACAGTAGCAGCAATCGTGCCAGCAGGAACACAGCTAACAACAATCGCAAAATTAACTCAGCCAGGTGAGCAACTGGGCTCGCCCAAGCTGCAGCGCTCCAAATCGTTGGCCGGCAGTGAAGAGAATGCGACAATCATTTTGTTACAAAACAATGCAGCGGAGCGACGGCACTCGGTGGCCATTATGGCCAAGGAGGTGGATGTAGTGGAGCAGCCAACTCATATAGAAACCATAACCATAGACGACGATGACAGTGACGAGGAAAAGGAGGCAGAGGAAAGGCGGAAACAGCAGGAGCAACAGAAGCAGAAGGAACAGCAGCAACTGCAACAGCAGCAACAACAGCAACAGCAGCAACAGCAGCAGCAGCAACAACAGCAACAGCAGCAACAACAGCAGCAACAGGAACATCAGCAGCAACAGCAGCAGCAACAGCAACAGCAGCAGCAACAGCAGCAGCAACAAGGACTGCGACAAGCAGCAACTCCAATAATTTCAGTTTCAGCTTCGAGAAAAAACTCAACAGCCAGTCGGAGTAGCAGCATTGCGAGCAGCTGCAGCAGTGATGTGGAAATGATCATTCTGCCATGCACTAAACCGGAGGAGCCGAAGCAACCCAAACAGCAGCCGCTGGAAATAAAGCATCCAGGCAATGGTGCCATCATCAACATTGTTAAAGCGGAAACATTGCCGGTGTCTAAAGAGGAATTTGAGAAGTCGTTGCGCTGCGATGAGCTTATGGACAACAGCTCACCTTTGTCTGTGTGTGCCAGCAATGTGGACAAGTCGGGCACCATCACGGTAGCACCCATTTCACGACTGCAAAACAAAAATGTTGACCTGATGCCAAATGTTGCCTTTGCATTGAGCACCTTCAGGCGCAGCATGCAACAGAATTTCAGCATGCTGCGCTGGCGGGACCAGCAGCCAAGCATGCTTCAGAATTCTAAAATGCGCTTCGAGCTCAATCGCTACAATTTGCTGCAGCTGGCAGAGCGATGTGAACCACGTCATGGTCCAGCTGAATACTTTGAGAGATCTCTCTATGATCGACCTGTGCGACGACCCAACGGCAGCAGCGATCCATTGCTCTACTTGTGCTCACGCTGCAATTGCCATGGACCCGCCTCTGATTTTCTGGCACCAAGTGAGTCAACTCGAAGATCTAAACAAATCATAAACTAATATTCCACTTCTTTGCAGGATTTTGCTCGATTAGCTGCGTGCGACGCGTTCCCAAACGTCGCCAGCTTAATCCGCCCAGCGCTGCCAGCGAAAACAAAATAAGTCGCATGGAGCCAAGGGCAACGAATGGTCATGTACAGCATCTGCATCAGCATCATCAGCAGATGCAACAACAACAGCTACAACTAGAGCTGCAACAACAGCTACAGCTGCAGAAGCAAAATCGTGAAAAGGAACGCTGTCGTGAGCCTAGATTAAACGAATCGAAGCCAATATTTAAATGGACCGAATATCTAAAAATGAAAGGCAATGGTGGTGCGGCGCCAATACATCTCTTCCCCAATCCGTTTCCTATTAGCCCCAATCAGTTTAAGCTCGGCATGAAATTGGAGGCCATCGATCCCGAGAACTGTTCGCTCTTCTGTGTGTGCACCATTGTCGAAGTGCGTGGCTACCGCTTGAAGCTCAATTTCGATGGCTATCCCAGTATGTATGATTTTTGGGTCAACGCTGATTCAATGGACATTTTTCCGCCGGGCTGGTGCGAACGCACCTCGCGTGTACTCCAAGCACCCAAGGGTTATTGCTCGGATAAATTTAACTGGCATCGGTATCTGTTGAAAACAAATGCTGAAGCAGCGCCTGCAATACTCTTCACCCATCTGAAAACATCCAGCCATACGCAGATAAATGACTTTCGTGTGGGCATGCACCTGGAGGCGGAGGATTTAAATGATACGGGCAAGATATGTGTAGCCACCGTTGCGGATATACTAGATGAGCGTATACGGGTACATTTTGATGGCTGGGACGATTGCTACGACTTTTGGGTGCACATAAACTCGCCATATATTCATCCCTGCGGCTGGCATGATGGTCGCCAGCAGCTGATCGTGCCACCCGACTATCAGAATCTTACATTCAACTGGGCGAGCTATATTGAAGAAACGGGAGGCATTGCAGCCCCCGAAAGATTATTCAAGCCACGTGAACCCATGGAGTTTCAAGCACGCATGAAACTCGAGGTAGTCGATCAACGTAATCCCTGCCTGATACGTCCAGCGACAGTGATCACACGCAAGGGCTATCGCATTCAATTACATCTGGATTGCTGGCCTGCAGAGTACTATTTTTGGCTGGAGGATGATAGTCCAGATCTACATCCGATCGGTTGGTGTCAGGCTACCTCACATGACCTGGAAGTTCCGCCCAACTTCAAGCAGGATCCCCCGCTGATGCCGTGCGATGTGCCAGGCTGCCGTGGGTTCGGAAACGCCAAACGCTTCAATCTCAACTTGCATGCTCTGCGCGACTGCTGTCCTTATGCGCCGGACAACTGGCGGCAGTGGCGTGCCAAGACGGTAAAACCGCCGCGTGTCCTTCCCGAGCATATCAAGCGAGCAGACTCACCAATGCCACAGTCGCCGTCGCCGTCGCCCTCACCTTCCATATCGCAGTCCCAATCGCAGTCACCATCATTGTCGCCGTCATTGTCCTCTTCGTCGCCACAGTCGCGATCGTCTCCAAGGCCGCAGACTCACGCACAGGATCCTTTACCCGGTTCAGCATCGCAGTTAAACTCAGATTCGAAGCTAGGAACCAAGGGAAATGCGCTCAAAAAAGTGGACACACCACGACCGAGCTTAGATTCGAAGCCACCGGCAAACATGACGCGCGATGTAAAAACACCGTTACCAACTGATACCAAGGTCAAAACAGCCCCAGCTGGACAGGGCGAACTCAATCCGCGCTGCCTAGCTATAGCCAAGAGCATTGTGACGGAATATGGGCCACATCTTGCACGCAATTATCGCCTGTGGCAACGGAACAGCGACTTTGATATGACGCAGCTGAGGAGCAATCCGCTCTACTGGACCAACTGGGACGTCTATGAGTTTGTGGAGCGAGCGCTCAAATCCTCCAGCATTGCGAAAATGCTTTTCGATGAAGAAATCGATGGACGAGCTTTGCTAATGTTGGGACGAAAAGATTTGACAACCTACTTTAAGCTGAAAGTGGGACCTACGGTCAAGCTATTCTCGCTGATAGTCAATCTGCGCATTGCGGTCGCATGTAAGTTTCAGACCAAGGAGACGGGTCTCAACATTAAAGAAATTAAAAAGTCGATCAAAACTGCAAAACGTGAGCCGCTAGACAACAGCAGAAAACCTTATGCAGATAATCCAATGGTGGCAACCACAAATAACCCGAATCAGAACAATGCTGTAGAGCGGACGCCTGAAAAGCAAGAAGAAGAATCAGAGGAAGAGGAATCAGAGGAGGGAGAAGAGGAAGAAGAAGTTGAGGAAGAGGAGGCGGAGGCAGAGGCGGATGACGAAGATGATGCAGATTTTGAATTTAAGGAAGAACCAGATGAAGAATTAACAGACGACGAGGACGTTATGCTAGATAGTGAAGACTTTCTTTGCGTCAAGCCAATACACGGGACGATAAAAAATGGGCCCGTTGATGAGAAGGACTCGGATGTCATTATGACTTCCGTGGATGCACTGCCCGTGAGTGCTTCCTAGGGGTTAGTATATGTGCTGTCAAACGGGGAACACGAAAAGGGAAGGATAGTTCAGCATGTTCCTATTCCTTTTCCTGTTCCTCTTTTGCAAAAGAAGGAAGAGGCAGACGAAGCTGATTTCTATGATAAAGAATCAGAACAAAAGCAAACGTATGATGCGGAAGCCAAGCTGAACAACAAAGATTTCATATGCGTTAATCCCATACATAGCATGGTCATGAGTGATAGGCCGCTTGAAAGTAAAGACTCGGAGACTGACTCTGACTGTGTCTCCGAATCTGCATCGGACTATAGCTCGCACTCGGATTCGAGCTCAGACTGGGATTCTCTGGCTGTGCTGCCCCTAACTGCATCATAGAGGTTATTTTACACGGCGGCGAATGAGGAGCATGAAGAGGAATGAAAAACTAATCCTCCCTTTCCGCAGAAGGAGGAGAAGGCAGGCTAAGTTGATGTTGCCATTGATTGTAAAGAAACAGGTCAAGGGCAAACGTATGACGAGGACGTTAAGTAGGACAACGAAGATTTCCTATGCGTTAAGTCCCTATACACAGCATGGTCAAGACTAAGAGGCCACTTAAAGATATGGAGTCGGACTCGGACTTTGACTCGGACTCCCTGGATGCGCTGATTGTGACTGCATCATAGGGTTCCATCCGTCCGACATCAGCCATTATGTTTCAATCCCATTTAGTTTTTAAGTTCATGAAATCAACTTTAACTATGGAAAATCAATCTAGTTAGTTGATCTATTTATATAAGGTTTGTTGCGTTGGATCGTTTTCAATCAATTAATATTGTGTATTCTATTGATATAGTAACTAATCTTTAAGCGTTTCAATTAAAGTTAATGTATAAAAGTTATTCTTGAGTATTAAGAATTCGATGATCTACAGATCTAGATGGTCTTTCAGGTCAAATTAAACCTATATCTACATTCACCACCTTCCAATCTATTTTGTTTCGAGCTGTGTGCTGTGCGGGTAAAATTGAGGAAGATGCATTTATTGGAACTATGAACTGAACTAGATATTTTTGAAACTAACAAATGCCATTAATTTGAAGAACTGCTGCTTGATTGATTTGGACTAGCGGAGCGTAATGTGCACATCAATATCGGACTATTGCCGTTTTGAATTTGGGTTCAATAGTTGGCAAATATTGCGTCTTGTTCTTAGTGCTTTACAACTTTTTTTCTTTGGCTTGTCTGGATCGATTGGTGAGGCAGCTTTCTCTGAATCTTCCATAGGTGGCTGTGGTGTTTCAGATTCCTTCTCTTTCGCCTGTGGCTTTGGTTCCTCTTCCCCGTAATATTTTTTTAGTTCTACTTCCAATTTTGCTTGTGATTTTGATTCAGTTGTTGGTCGTAGGCCGGTTTGTATATCTTCTGCTGCTGCTGTTGGTGCTGCTGCTGCTGCTGCTAGTACTGCAGCTGTTGGTGCTTTTGCTTCTGCTGTTGCGCCTGCTGCTCCGGCTCCTGCTGCTGCTGCTTCCGCTCCTGCTGCTGCCGCTTCTGCTTCTTCCGTCTCGTTGTCGTCTTTTACGGCCAAAGTGCCGTCCGGCTCGAAAAGCAAACCACCAAATAGATGCGTCACTTGGACAAATTGTTGAAAGCAGCACATATTTCTATAGTAGAGATTATTGCATTTCTGATATTTCTTCAGTGCCACGAGCAATTCATTGTCGGGAATGGTGTTCGCGCCTTTCAAAATTATCATCAGAGCATGCAGCTCCTTGACGGTAAATTTCAGAAAACTATTGTCACTGATCAGCCTCTTAGCCATTGGCACAATTTTCTGAAACAGAGGTGAGAACGATGAATACTAATAATAGTTGATAAATAACTGAAGTTACCTTGCCCACTAGCTTCATCATGGCCGGCCGGTTGTGCTCATTGGCCAACTGAAACATTTTGAGCACCGTGGACATGGGCCATTCCTTATCGACGAATTTGCCAATGTAGCCGTCCACAAAGTCGGGCATTTTGTATTTGGTGGCCAAATATACAAGATCGGGGAACATCTCAATCTGGATGTCATTGTATATCTCATACGTGTATATATATAGCAACAAAGTTTCGTACGCATCGGGCATGGCGTCATTCACATTGATCACCAGCTTGGATTTATTGAAATCCGTTTCACGGAACATGCTCTCAAACTCCTCCGAGGCAGACGCCAACAGAATCCTGTGGCATTTGAATTCGCGGCAGCAACAAGTCATCGATTTATTCGTATACCACACCTTTAGGTCACAATCCGACAGTTGTCCAGAACGGAGCAATTCTAAACGACGTAACTTGCAAAACATCATTTACATATTCGAAAACTTGATACACTACATAAATTTAGTACTAAAACCGATAATTCCTGAAATGTTGTTTCACTCTCAAATTTGATTCTTGATTTTCACTTTTTCCTTGTAGTAGCATGTACATACATACATATCTTGGGTTTATTTGTTAGATTTTTGTCTAAAGCTTGCTTAAATTGGTATAAAATGTCAAAATTTCGAAAATCAGCTGACAGGGCTAGTTCAGGACCGTCTAGATCGTCCAACCCGTCAGCCCCTGCACCTACGGCTACCCCAGCATCAGAGGCCCCAGATGAAGTTGCCTCCCCATCAGCACAGATCGCAAAGACGGAGACGCCTATTAGCCTAGATGTTCCGTCGACCAAGAAGCGCCGCCTCGAATATTTGCGGAGCGGCATAGATTCCGATTGTGAGGTACATGTGGCGAAGAATGCGAGCAGTGCTGATGACGGTGCCAGCACCTGTTATAGGAAATTTAAATGCCATCGTCTATTTCTGGCAACCGCATCTGAGAAACTGGAACATGACATATTCGAAAATAAAAGCTGGAACGGAGTATTGCAAATAAATGGAGTCTCGCCGCAGAGTGTGGAAATCTTCCTGGAATTCATTTACACATTTGAACTGGCAACGGCGCAAATCGATCTATTGCTTATTGGGGATATATTCATATTGTCCTGTGCATACAATTTACCAGACCTCATGCTTAGCTTCTCGCAAGAACTAAAGAATATTACATGGCCATTAGCTGGCATATTACCAGCCTTCAATCTGGCATTCCGTCATAATATTTATGATCTAGAAAACTTTAGCATAACCGTATGTTCTTCATGCTCTTCAATATCTCTCATATCATGCGTAACTATACTTTTCGATACCTTTTCAGAAAATTGTAGAAAACGCAGCTGCTCTTAAAAACGAACCTGGACTTAAAAAACTGCAGATTTACGCATTCAACTACGTCATCCAATTCTGGCTAGCCACCGAAGTATATTCTATATTTATATATTTAAGGCATTCATAAATTCCTTAATTAAAATGTTTATTTTCAAACAGGCGCTATCCACAAACGAAATAATTCAAATAGTACAGGAGTACCAGAAAGAAAATAATTTAATATTTAAAAATACACAACAATTTCCACATTTCATTAAGATTATCAACTATTTTCCCAGCATGCTCCTGGACGCCGAAGGATTCATTGTTCGTTCGCCTTAATTAATGACGACCTGAGTCAACAAGCTAACATAACTATGTAAATTCTAACATTGAAAACAAATTTTCAGTGTAAGAGAACCGTCTTCTGGTATTTTTTTTAACATAATCCTAGAGATCTGCTTGGTTAGTGATACAGCCCTGTCTTGTCATGTCAAATATTTCTGTTATTGCCAATAAATACACAATGTTTCTACTGCTATCGATTCATCGTTTCTAAGAGAACCAGTAGATTGTTTTTTATTATAAACATTTATCATCGAAATACAAAAAAATACTAAGAGGTCGCTATATTTATTGCCCAGTCATTCGCATTTAAACGGCACTTTTGTTTTTTACAATAAGCTATGATTAAATATTAGTTATATAATATTTTATTCACATAATTGAACGGAAATTCTTAGGAGCGAACGAACCATTCAAGTTCAATATGAGGCACATGCAGCAAGCTATTGCGTTGCAACTATCGATATGTTTAGCCATCCCTATCTGGTCCTCAACTTGTGGTTTTCGTACAGCATTTTTCCGGGTGTTACAGTGTTACAGTGCTTGAAAAATATAAATAGCGAATTGAAAAAGAGTGTAAACAATTTTCAAAGCTAGTGCACGTGCTAAAAAAAATCTGGAAAAGTGTTGTTCGCATATTACAGCAATGAAAGGCAGTTAATGGTTTGCCATTTGGATTTTCGTTGGCGACGTCGGATCTCTTATACAGATATAGTAAACGGCGCAATCGCCAGAACGCAACTACATTTCCCACTGTGCAGCAGACATAAAGTAATTGCAATGTGTTTATTGCTTTAATTATATGTTTGAATTGGGTGCTTAAGAAGTTCTATACTATTTGTTTTTCTTTCTCTTTTTGTGGCGCATGTTTTGTTTTCTTGTGCACTGTACACCACATCATTATGCTTGTGTTGTGTGTGTGTGTGTCTGTGTTAGTGACTTTGTACACATTTTAGGCGGTGTGGTGTGAGACCCTCGCAGTGCATTCGATAAATATCGCTGTAATTCCTCTATCGATATGCATTGGGGATGAAATGCGCGCGAAACGACAATGGGGGCTAACATTATATTACATGCATACATACATGCATGAATACAATAAAGACATATTTAGTTGAAGATGAATAAAATTAATGAAGATTCGTGCTCAAATTTATTCACTTACAGTTAATGTTTCGGTACCTGCCCGCTTAAAAGTTTACAAACGATTCATTCAGTTAATATAAAATGGAGGAAATATCCAGTCTCGACTCTTTTGGCGCTGATTCGAGCGCAAGACCTGAATCAGAAACATCCAAATTGGACGAGGACAATTCAAGGGAGAAAGCTGAAGCAAGAACAGCTCTTCAGGATACACCTGCGTCACCATCACCTGTGGAAAATATTAGTGCAGATGCCGGCGAAATAGCTGAAAAAATAGCTACAGCGCCAGCAACAGGCGAGGATGACGATTTCGAGCAGATATCAGAAGGTTCTTTGGACATGGACGAAGGACAATCGCAAGATAAATCCGATGCTGCTGGAAAAGAAGAACTAAATCCTATACCTAAAGATAGTGGAGAATTGGATGCAGAGCCCAGTGCAGCTGAGCCAAGCGCTGAGGATGCATCAGAACAAGATGTGGAGCCAGCTGCGGCAGATGAAGAGCAAGAGCATTACAATATAGATTCCAATGCTGAAGCAGAAGCTCAGCAACAACATGATGCTTTTGAAAATGTAGAGCAAGGCAAAGAAGCGTCTGAGACAGATGCAGTCGATGGTGCACCCGCCTCCATTGAAGCTATGGAAGTAGACGAGGAAGGTGATGCCGAAGCAGAATCTGCGCCCGCAGAAACAACTGCTGATGGCGATGATGTCGAAATGCAATCCGAAGGGGCCGACTCCCAGCATGCAGCAGGTGAACAAACTGACGCGGGCGACAAGTCTACTGAAGACACGCCCTCTGAGGGCAGGGATGAAGTTGATAGGACAGAAGAACAAAATGCTTCAACAGCTACAGACAATTTGTCCACTCACGAAGAAGATGATGCAGATAACGCAGAGGCAGATGCCGAGGCAGAACGAATTGAAGATGCTGCCGAAGCCGAACAACAAGATGAAGCAGCCGATGAAGGGGCCGAGCAACCAGATGAAGCTGGCGAAGCAGAACAGACGGAAGAAACAGCCGAAGCAGAGCATGGAGATGGTAAGTGTAGTTGCAAACAAAAATAAAATCGAATTATACAGTGTTTTGATTACTTACACAGATACTGTCGAAAATGTGCTAGAGCCCGAGGAATCTGATGTTTGTCTCATACCGGACGATCCCGAAACGGAAGTAACTGAGGCCGAAAAGGAGCTGGCCCGAGAGAATGCGGAAAAGGCAGCGGAGGAGGAGGAAGCCGCCGAGCAAACGCAATCTGGATCGAAATCGCCTGGCAATGAGGCTGAAGCTGGACCAGAAGCACAAAGCGACAAGGTTGATGCGGCCGCGAGTACTGTGAATCCACAAACGGAAGACACGTCTGAAAGTGCAAACGGTAATAAAATAAGCTAAGTTATTGTAATTTAATTCTTAAGCTAAGCTGTCGATTGCTCTCCGTGTGCTCCTATTTAATCCTCCACTTGAGCAGCAGAGGCTCTGGCTGATAAGCCAGCTGGAGCTGATGTATCAGAGCGCCCTGAAGGTGAGCTTTACAAATAATTCTCAAAACTTTCATAAACTCAAGAAGTACAAGAACTAGCTACAAGGGAAATCAAACTTAATACTTAATTTATTAAATGAGAAATAAAATGTATAATAAAACTCTTTGCATTACACAGCGAACACTGCAGCTAATGACGACGAGGACACTCCTGAAGCGGATGCCCAGGAAGCTGACGAGCCCACCCACGAAGCGTCGGGGACTGCCGAGGATGAAGCGGGCGGAACTGCCAAGATAGCCATCGTTTGGATAGTGGGCAGCACACAAAAATGTAGACAATGCGACACTGAAAAGACCTGCGTTTATCGCTTCAAACAGAGCGAAGCGGCTGCGGATGAAAATGCCGAAGAGACGTCAGCAAGTGAAGCACCTGCAACAGGAGGAACATTCGAGTATTTATGCGATCAGGCGTGTTGTGATGCATTCTTGGCTGCGGAGCCGGGCAAATACTTCTTACGGCGTAAGAAGTTCCTGGTCGAGGAGGTTAGTCAGGAGTCCAGCAGTGTGGCTGCCGTTGATGATGACACAAGTGGGAATACAGAGACGACAACTGCTGCTGAGCCCAATGAAGGTGATGCAATAGACGCCGCTGTAACGAACAAGAAACACGCCTGCCTGCAGTGCAAGGAGCAGACGAATTGCAAATACTTTCTCCGGCAAGACCAGGATACGTACTACATATGCAATGATGATTGTTTCAATCTCTTAAACGCCGAAGAGCCAGATAAATACAAATTGAAACGTCACTCGATACGCGTACGAAACATTGGCGCCACCACCATACGCTCGCCCAGCAAAAAGCCTGAAACAAATGTGGTCGCCCGCACCAACGCCGAAGCGGAGGCGGCGCGTCTCGATCGCATCGAGAGCTTTAGGAGACGTTGCGCCGATTGCCAGCAGGAGGTGAATGTGGGTGACAAGCAGCTCATCTGGGAGACAATGGACTTTTGCAACGAGGTGTGTCTGGGCAGCTATCAGCGTTCGTTTGGCGGCAACTGCGAAACTTGCAAACAGGAGGTCAGCTCCATTGCTCTGGGCAAATACTGCGTCCGATTTGGCTTCGAAGTGCGTCAGTTTTGCTGCGCGGCATGCCTTAATACGTACAAGAAGGGACTGAAGACCTGCAGCTGCTGTCAGAAGGATATTAGCAGCGGACAGGAGGGCTTTCTGGCACCCGTCGGCGACAAAGATCAGTTCAAGGACTTCTGTTCACAAGCATGTCTGCGACGCTATGATAATATGTGCAATCCCAAAAAGAAACTACGCACGGACATGTGCGGCGTTTGCAACAACGAAAAGCCTGTGCGTGTAGAGATGCTGTTGGACGACAAAGAGCACTATTTCTGCTCGAATCCCTGCTTTTCGGCTTTCAAGTTTGTGAGCAACGTCAATGCCGATCCGTGCTCCATGTGCTGCAAGTACTTCGAGCGAAAGAGCACCGATGCATACACAATTTATAGCAATGATCAGCAGGCGCCGAAAATGTTCTGCTCGCGCATCTGTATCAATGTGTACATCATTGTCAATCGACACATTGTCTCCTGTCAGTGGTGCAAGGTTAAGAAATATAACTTTGATATGATCTACAAGCAGCAAAACGACCAGGAGACGCTCACTTGTTCCATCAACTGTCTGACCATGCATGGCGTTAGCTGTAACATTTCAGCACGTGCTGTCACCAAGTGCGACAATTGCAGCAATACAAGCACCCCGCAATACCATCTCACCATGTCGGATGCATCGATGCGCAATTTTTGTACATATCAGTGCGTAATGCAGTTCCAAAATCAGTTTGCCCGCACGCCACTAACTTTGGATGGCGATGTGGCGTCAACGTCGGCCAGCAAAGCACAACAGCCGCAACACCTATCTGCTTCACAACCTCGAGGCAGCAACAAAAATGGAGCACCCTTTCCCACCGGACTACCGAAACGGGTCAAATTGAAGTTGTCACAGCAGCCGGTATGTATTTACTGATACTTTGAACTCGATCTTTAATGCACACTGAAGAAGAAACCTGTTATCGATAGAACCTTTTTTGCGATAGTCGAAAATTACTAGTGTTGAAAGGATATTGAGAGTGCAAAATAAGAAATATATACCAATGGTTGGTATGTTTTACACAAAATGAACAATGGAATTTCATATCTTTGAATGCGAATTTATTTCAATTTGATTAGATTATCTAAGGATCTGTTTATAGAATATTAGCTCATTTAAATCAATGTCCCAACTGGTGCAAATACATGCTAATACTTATTTCGCGATGTGGCAACGCTCTTTCCCATGCAGTCCATAAACCATCTACGCGGTTTTCCAATTTGATACTAATTTTTGTAGAAGAAATAAAAATGCATTTAAGGTGGAAAGTAAGTGTAATGAACGTTTAGTTTCAATTATGCTAAAGTCTTTGATTAAATTTCTTTGCAGACCGGCCTGAAAAATAATGCCTCTGGTGGTTTAAATAAAAAATCAGCTAGTGGAACTGTTGTGCCCGTTATTTCCACCGTTCAATCGCTAGCGAGCGGCGAAACTGAGGCACGCATTGGAAGTGTAACCGTGCGGCGCAAGCGCGGTCGTAAAGCGGACTCACCGCCTCCGTTATCATTGAGCATTACTTCGTCCTCATCATCGTTGGGGGAGGTTCGTGGTCGTGGTCGTCCGCGCAAGCACGTGGACTATACTGTTGCACGGTCGCCCTCACCACCGCAGCCTTTGCGGCGCAGCGTCGGCACTCCTAGCAATGATTTACCAGCGCCAGTAACGGAAACAAAGATCATCACCGTTCCTCCGTATCCAAAGGCGGTTCGTAATGTAAATATCAGTTGCAAGCCCATGACTGTTTCGTCAAGCGCTCAGGTAACGCCGTCCGTGCGAGATTGTGCCACGCAGACAGAGAAGGATTATTCGAACAAGGTGCTAATACCCGTACCTGTGCCCATATTCGTACCGCAACCGATGTATATGTATTCAGCGCCATTCCCGGTGCCCGTGCCCATTCCTCTGCCCATACCGGTGCCAATCTTTATACCCACGACACGAAACACCGCAGCTGGCATCTTGAAAGAGATTAAGAAGATACAGGATAAAATGCCCGAAGATCCACTGGAGGCCGAATTGCTAATGATGGCTGAAATGGTAGCTGAAGAGAAGCACGAATCGGATTCCGATTCGGACAACGAAATCAAACCGGATCCGGGTCTGGTCACCATGCAATATCAGAATAGTCTTGAGCAACAGCAGCAGCAACAACAGCAACAGCAGCAACAGGTTGTGGATGTTAATGTCGCTAGCCATAATCATTACGGCGATGATATGCTCCAAATAGCCCTAAAAATGGCCACAGGCGACTTTGAAAATCCTCATCAGACAACAACCGTTGATCTGGAGTCAACAATGACGGCCAACACGATAACGAGTCAGTCGCCCATGGGACATGATATGGGTCAAATGGGCGTGCATCATCTGGATCAGCAGCATCACATGTAAGAATCGTCACAACGTAGATTTTTTTTCAGTATTTATTATAAAGTTGTTCATAATTCAATCAAATGTTTTTCAGATCTCCGCGAGGTCGTAAACGTGGTGGCACCATCGCCGTACTTGATTCTCCATCACGGAATAGTCGATCGCCTGTTAAACGACAGCGTGGCAGCGAAATGGACCACTCGGCCCTGCAGCAACAGTCGCAGCAGGCACAACAGCCGCAGGAAAAGCCCGATGCACAAATGTTCCTCAAATACACATTCGGTGTCAATGCCTGGAAGCAATGGGTGATGACCAAGAATGCAGATATCGAGAAGAGTTCGATGCGCAGGAGACCCTTCAAAACGGAGTTGCTGCAAATGACCGCAGACGAGCTGAACTATTCGCTCTGTTTGTTTGTTAAGGAGGTGCGCAAGCCCAATGGTACCGAGTATGCGCCGGATACAATATATTACCTTGTGCTGGGTAAATATTAGCCAAGTTCTATTGTCTAGATCAGCTACCAATACTCTTGTTTTTTACACAGGCATCCAGCAATACCTTTATGTAAACGGACGCATCGACAACATATTCTATGATCCATACTATGAACGTTTTACAGAATGCCTTGATGAGGTGGCACGCAAGTTTTCCGTGCTTTACAATGATTCGCGTACGTATTAGAATAATCCGATATAATTCCTATTCTAACTTGTTTATTTCTAATCCCACAGAATACATTGTCACACGCGTGGAGGAGGAGCATTTGTGGGAATGCAAACAACTAGGCGCCCATTCGCCCCATGTGCTGCTCAGTACGCTGATGTTTTTCAATACTAAGCATTTTAATCTAACTGTAAGTACATACTTCTTTCGGTTAATATCAAATGTAATGTATGTAATGTTTGTAATTAATTACATTCACACAGACTGTTGAGGAGCATATGCAATTATCATTTTCCCACATTATGAAGCACTGGAAGCGTTCATCGCAAAACTCTAAGGTACCAGGCACACGAAATGTGCTCTTGCGATTTTATCCGCCGCAGGCAGGTTTGGGTAAGTAATATATTGATTATATTTAAATAGGCAATAATACTATTTATGGCTTACAGATGCCAATCCGCGCAAGAAAAAGGTGTACGAGCAGCAGGAGAACGAAGAAAATCCATTGCGTTGTCCTGTGCGTCTATACGAATTTTATCTCTCCAAATGGTAATTAAGATAATAATTATTTCAGTGTTCTGACTAATTATTCATATCTAAATTTCAGCCCAGAGAGTGTAAAAACGCGCAACGATGTGTTCTATTTGCAGCCGGAACGATCCTGCGTACCCGATTCGCCCGTTTGGTATTCAACGCAAGCGCTCAGCCAGGACGCACTACAACGTATGCTGCATCGCGTTAAAATGGTCAAGGAAATCAATATAGCACTATTGACAACTTAATGTGTAAATAACACACACAGACGCACATACGATTTGTAGTATGTGAATAAGCTCATTATGTAATGACATTTAAAGATAACGAACCTTTGGTGCTTAGCACAAGATTATTTGCGGGCAAAAACACCAATATAACCCATTCAGCTAAACTAAGAGATAAGCATCTCTCCACGACTCCAATTATTTAAAGAATCATAGTTGTGTTGCATAAGTCTAGCAATACTTATACATATATATAAAAACACTAGATATATATATCTAAATTAACAAATTGGTTTTACGTACTGTAAACAATTGTGCCCTAAGAGTAGCGCAATATTAGGCTCTGTATAGATTATGAATTTAAATTTGAACTTTATCTCAAGCATAAATCTTTAAAAACGAATCAACATCATTTAAAAATTTGGCTACTGATTATTTCATTTATATATACTTGGTTTAAGTTTAGATACGTAAGACCACAGCGATGACGATTGCAATTAAGTCATTTTAATTAGTTTGTTTATAGTAAACTGGTAGGGAGTGTGCTTAAGTAATCAAATTGCAGTCCCCGAGGCAGCGTATCGATTGAAGCATGCGGCGAGTTGCATGTATGATGTTGATTATATATTATTATCTATAAACATTTAAAACAGATACTATGCCGTTGCAGTGTACATAGAGCATAAACATAAACAATGAGCCAATTACGAGCTGTTGTTCTAAGTGTTTTAATTGTAAAATGCTGTACTCCTTAACTAAAAAAGTAATTTTAAATATACGATACATATACATATATTTTACAATTTATAAATTTTATGATTTCTTAAGAGCTTGTGTAGATTTTATTGCTTTGATTTGGTTCGATTTGATAAAAAATATGTAGTTTTTGTTGTCTGGCGATACTATATATTGATAAGGCTCAAGCGCTCTGAATGCATAAAGCTACTGTCTATTTTTGTAATTTGACACATCCATCGTAAAGACTACTGAACAATCTAGGTGCTGTGTGGTGTGGTGTGTATCCTTATRAATATACATATTTTACATATATAATGTAATGGTCCTTATGCAAATCTCCGTTTCCTTACAAAGTTTCATTTTATTGACAATAATATGCGGAGCAGTGTAATTAATACATATATATTACGATTACAAATTTTTTAAAGAAAACAACTCAACTTGACGCATTCAATACAAATAGTCAAAACTAATATTAGATACAATTTTATATGCCCGGCCAGGCAACGTGATTAAAGGAAATCTCACTGTGACTGCCATTGTTGGACATCGTTTGGTCATGTGGGTGGTATAAGTATATGCCTGTGTATTTCTGTGTGTGCGTAGATTTGCGTGCATGTGTGATTGTGTGTGTGTATATGTAATTCAGTGCATCTTTATCTGTAGTTGTGTCTGTGTATGTGCAGCTGTGTGTGTGTGTGTTGTGTCTGTGTATTTGTAGTTGTGTGTGTTAATATACGCGTGTTTATGTGGGGAGAGGGAGTGGGGGATGCTATTAACGTATTTAAAGGCGCACTGTGAGGCATTTCGTTTGTCTTTTGTTTGTTTGTTAGTTTTGTTATTTCTTTTCTAATGGATTTTCACACTATGCTTGTTGTCGGTCCTGCTCGATTACCATTCGGCATCGCCGTTGGATTTTTGAAATACATAATCTTTGCCTCGCATATTCATGATGCCATCCTTGAGATAAAATTTCCATTTGTTGCGCGAGCGTGTGATCTATACAAACCAAATTTTTTGATATATATTAAAAAATTCGTTTGTTTATATAATCAATGATTGTCTTACTTTATCATACTGGCACACAATGACGTTATCTGTGTCAAACACTTCAGCCGAATCCTCGTCAGTGACATCATCCTCGCTATTTAACGGCTCCTCTTCGGCAGCGTCCTCATGCTCTGCATCATCATCCTCATCTTTGTCTAGATCATCATCGTCATCATTGTCTATGTTGTCGTCACTCTCCTCGCTTTCATCCTCCTCTGAAGAGTCTAAGGCGCCGTCTAGCTGCTTGGATATTGCCAAATTTTCTAGAAAATTAAATGAAATTGTAAAAATGTTCCCGCTGATATTAAGCGTAGCTTATCATCTTACTCTGATGATTGGCATTGTTAAGAGCAGCATTCACGTGCTGCTGCAGCACGGACGAGGCTAACGTAGTAGGCAATGACATGATAGATGAAATTAGATGAGCGGTCAATATCTGGGTAAGCTGATTCTCCTGCAGTGCTGAAGCCGGCACCTGTATGGTGAGCACACGAGATTCAGGATTTGTTGAGCCCGGTGGTGAAGGCAACGTTATCTGCAAAGCATTTGTTGTAATTAAGTCCTCTTACAATCAGCGCATGCTTACGTTAACAGGCATAATGCGATTGGGATCCAATTGGGCAACAATAGGAATTGGAGTCTGCCCAGCGGTTGTAGAGCCACCACCCGTAGCTTGTTGCTTTTGCAGCATTGTCGAGCCGCCTGTAGGATGTAGCGGCGGTGGATTCTGTGATGTGACCTCCTGTTTGATGCTACCAATGCCGTTCTTCATGCCGCTGCCAGCTGCGGTAATGGCATTTCCAGATTTGCCCGCAATCGATGGCGATGCCAGCTTATTGTTGTCTGTGCTGTTGGTGACGGTGCCAGCGGTGGTGCCACCTCCGTTGCTTTGCTGTGAAGCAGCCGCAGCGGCGGCAGCTTTTTTAGCCTTGGCATTAGCAGCCTATCAAGTAGAAGAATAATTAGTTTAATATGCTATATGAGCGAGTGCTAATTACTGCATTACCTTGGAGCTCTGCAGCAAAGTATATGGGCGAGTGTGTATGAGTATGTTTGTGTATTGTAAGATGATAGCAGTTACATATACATAAAGCAGCAGTCGGTGTTGGTATATATATTTATTTATTATGTTGATGTGCGCGATCAATTGTTGAAATTGGAGACAGATAGAGAGAGAGAGAGAGAAAAAGCAACAAAGTTAAGTCAAGTTATACTTGGATATTAACACAGTTTATGCAATACATATAAATACGATTAGCTCTACACACACACACACACACACACACAAACTATTCAAAGATGGACAAACGCGCTACACATCCATCGAAGGCCTTGGCTACGAGACACACACCTTGCTTACCTTTGGATTATTGGCCACAATGGGCGGTGGGTGGTGGCCTGGCTCGCCGGGTTCGGGATTCAATTCAACCGCCTTACTTGCTAATAGCTTGTTGCGCCATATCTGTTTCATCTCCTGCAGCACCTGCTCATCGACGCCCTCATCCAGAAAGGCATCGCGCACATTGTTGATGACATCCTCAATAACGGCATGATACACTTTCAGCTGTCACAATACAATTAAAACAGTTTGGTTAATTATCAGCAAACAAGTAATTTTGAAAATAAATCACGCCAATTAACCAGCACCTGCAACAGTTGAAAAAATAGAGCTAATGGAATAATATAGACATGTGTATATAAACAAAGTTAAGCAGTGCAGACTCATAATTATTATATATGTATGTATTTGTATATTACATATGCAATATTTAACTGACTGTGTGGCTGATTGTTATCAGTCTAATGGATGAGGACTAGGTCAAGTTCTTAGAAAATCTGCTGCAGTGACTAAACTATTCAATTTATTCGAATTGATAAATTGAGGTCAGATAGTTGTGAACTGCAGTCAGCAGGAAGGTTGCAACATACATGTGTGCGTGGGATGAATATATATTTACTGTTATGATATATCCTGCGCTTGTCTTTCTGTATTAAAACAATTCAATTTGGAGTTCAATCGAAACTTCTCAATTATTATTCACACTGCGAATTGCCTATGCATGTGTACATCTGTATGTACGCATGTATGCCTGTGTTTGTTTGTCTGTATGTGTGCATTACAATTCAAGTGCTATTTTTGATTGCATGCATGGTCTTTGCTGCTGCGGCTGCTACATTCTTTCGCACATTTAATGTATCTGCAGACATACACAAATAGATGCGATACGTAATTGTGGCTACTATCAAACCTAAGATAAGATAATAAGACAAAGTGTATAAACAAAATAAGTAAGTAATTAAATTTGCTTGCGTTAACGCGTCGATCGCAAACATATGATTAAACAAACACAAGAACACATAGACATGTTTGTTTTATGTATGTATGCGAATCCTTCTGCACGCCGCTTTCGTATACAGATACACACAAACGCACGAACACAAAGCGGCAGACATGCCGCCGCCGCAGGCACAAGGCAACTTACGCTCTTCACTTCTGAAGGGGCAAACTTTCACTTTTGAGGTCAATCATTTCTTTGGTTCCATATGTCACAGTTTGTTAATTATTAATCAACTTAAGAACTATTAATAATTGACTAAGCATCAAATATTCTATGTACATCTCAATAGTGTAAATTTTGTACTTTATAGGGCACAGATTTGTTGTAAAAAATACATAGTAAATCTATGATATATGTGCAGTAAATTGAATATGCGTGTGGCTTACCACTGAGGTTTGGCATAAAGCCATCTGTACTTTTTTCTCCGCCAGTTTGAGACCTTTCTGTGTTTACTCTTTATCAAATTGAACACTGTAATGGACGTAAAACTTTAAAAAATTACAATTAAGAAAAAATGCGTCTCGTCTGACACACACAGATGTGACGAAGATACGAAGTAAAAACACGACCAAGCAGTGTGCCCGTTTTTTACGTCTCGATAAACACCAAACCAACGCTGCCAGACTGCTACGTTCTGATATATGAACGACTGTTACATCCAACCAGTGATCTATCACAAAGTAAAATCACAGTTTATAACATTCATATAAATATATTGTTAGATAACAGAGAGCCTTCGCTTTTAACATGATATTAACATAGACAAATTTTTTCAACCATTCTAATCATATTCATCACAATTCTGGCGCTCGCTATTGAATTCGAGATCATCATCATCCTCGTCGTCGTCGAGTTCTGCGTCAGGTTTATAATCCAAATCAGAATCACCCTGTTCGTAAAATGGATCCTCTTCGTCTGATTCCAAATCAGAGGGTTCATTTGTACGCCCATTGGAATTTCGCGCCTGGTTGCGTCGCTGCCTCAAACGATTTCGAATATTCTGGGCGGAATTGACTAAGTTGCAATTTAGCTGCCATCTGCCCCATATACAGTATATTACTTACAATCAGATGGATGCGAATACTGTTGAAAATGTATAGGATTGCGACGATAGCAGGAGTTGCCAAATGGACAGGCCGGTGTGCCCAATGGTGGTATTGGAAAACTCGGGCGCCTGTAATCCGAATCTCCCGGATGAGCCTCGCTACTCCGATGAGTCGGATTGCGTCTAAACGTTAAAATGGTTAGAGTATCTGTGGACATCCAAAAAATTTGTAGGACCTTGACTTACCTGTAACACTTTATACCAAAACGACAGGATGGTCTTAACGTGCTGGATGAAACTGAGCTATCGGCAATTGCTGCTTGTGTGCTAGTATTTGGCTCAGTTTTCACAATAACTGCAGAGCTGCTAACTGCATCTACCTTAACAGATGTATCGTCGTTAGTTGACTCCTTTTTTATTGGAATGGTTAAGGGACTGGTGCTAGCCCCAGCTATGTCATTGACATCGACGGCAGGTGAATCATCATGATCGTCATCCGTTTTAGCAGATGGATCGTCGTTGATTGGTTCTTTTTTTATTGCAACAGTTGCGGCGTTGGAGCTAGTGCTAATCGTAGAAACGCCACTAACATCGGCGGCAGCTGACTCATCATGTTCTTCAATTGGTTCGTCCTTAATGGTCACTTGAATGCTGCTGGTGGTGGACTCTATTTCGTCTGGAGGCTCCGTTTTTACAGTCGCTTTGTCCCCAGATTTCCTGCGTTTATTTATTGCACTGGTATCCGCATTTGCTTGTTGGTCGTCGGAAAGCTTCCGCTTTGCAGTTTCTATAGCCTCTGGTATATTTTGTTTGTGATTGTCCATGCTCGAAATATACAGCAACTTCTCTTCTTCGTTTGCGTTAATGTTAACAAATCCAAATAAATTTATTTCTATTTCACAACGCGATTGATGAGATCTTTAGAGTTATCGCTTTCATGCCAAGAACTAACTCGATATTTCGATATACACAGCTGCTTCTGTAAATCAGCAAACCGCTCTATTTCGAAAGAACACGCTTTGATGCGTGGTACTCGAAATAACTAAAACCCAGTTATTTATACGTATGTATATGTCAATGCTCATTAATAAACCGGTAATCCAATAATTCTGTTGTACTTAAGGCTGATTGTGATATTTATTCAAATTAATATACATATACACTTATAATATACATCTAGGCCGTGTCAGTTGCCATTGGTCGTCCGTTCTAGTGCTGCAGCTTCCAAAAGTACCTGCATTATTTTGTCCTTGGTATTTTCCGATGTTGCAAACGATAATTGCCGCAATCGATCAGCAACAAAATCGCCAAATATTTGCGATGAGTCCTTAAGATTCTTCACGGCAACAGTGACAGCATTTGTGATGCTTTCCTCATCAATGTTTGCTATCGGTGCAGGATTCTCCACTTGATCGTCAGATTGTGGGGTGGACCCATTGGAGAACAGTACCTGTTCTGGTTCATATAGCGCAAGACTCTCTATAATGGCCTCGTAATCTGGTCCATTACTGGCGCTCTTCTCTGTTTTTACAGGAGACAATTTTATATTGGATTTATTGTCATGAGTATGGGCTTTTAAACGCTTGGGTTCTGTAGCTTTTCTGGGTTTGTAGTCCATGTGGTGGTCAAAAGAAGAGTCTTCATCGTTGCTCTGTAGTTAAAATAATGAAAAATAAGGTCGTAGATTAGATTGCTTTACAAGAACTATGCTTACCGAGTCATTTCTGTTTGCATCAGTTGTTGGATGCATTTTCTTGTGTTTCTTTGTAAGCGCATGAGCGCGCAAGTCGCATATCTTTGTATTTACTCCACATTTGCAGAAACGACAACGTGCTCTGTATGAGTCCTCGGGGTCTCGCCGTAGCCACTGTCTAAATTCTGGCATTTGGAGCCAGACTTCACGGAGTTTCTGCTTATATATCTTCATAATTCATTAACAAAATTTACAGGAATAACACGACAAATAGAGATGGTAATAACAAACTGCTTAGTGGATGTCGATAAAAATGGATGATAGTCGATTAGAGCGTTATCCAACACTGGCTGTATTATTATTTTTTCCGAAATATACCGATGTATAAATAACACAAGCACGACAATAATATAGCACACGCATCAAACATTTCTGATTCTAGCATCTTCCAACACTTAGCGCATACAACACGTGAAGTTTTATTAAATCAAAATGAAGACGGCAAAAGATAAATTAAAAAAGAAAAATGATGACATGAAACATCAAGAAAAGCTTGTTGATGTTGCAGAGAAAAGCAAAACAATCAAAAAGGCACCGAAATTGAAGAAACCTAAAGCGGCGAAACCCGCCAAAAAAGAGGCGACCGTAAAGGAGGCAAAAGAGAGCCCGAAGGAATTATCTGTTGCTGATTTAGCCAAAATCGAAAAGAAAAAGGCCAAGAAACAAGCACAAAAGTTAAAGAAACAGCAGAAAAAGTTAACGGCCGATGCAGTAGAGAAGAAATCTAAATCAATAGTCAAAGCCGCGCCAAAAACTGAGGTAACACCTGACAAAAAGAAGAATGTACCAGAAGCAAAATCACCAACAAAGTTGGCCAAAAAAACGAAAGGGAAAAAGAACAAAAAGAAAAATGATGAGGATGAAGGTAAGAAATTAAACTGCGCAAATATATTTAACTCACAACTTTTGAAATTTGTTTTAATAGATGAAGTGAAGCGAAAACGAGATCCTGCCGACGAAGCTGCGACAATATTTATTGGAAATCTTCCCATAAATACCAAACGCGTTCAAATTGTGCGCTTACTTAAGCCTTTTGGAACGGTCCATTCAATCCGTCTGCGTACGGCCGGTGGAAAGAAGCTGTTTAAGCTCAAGCAGCGCAAGGCAGCTGTCTCCCTAAATGCCTACGTGGTACTAGACAACCCAGAGATAGCACAAAAAGCGCTGGCGCTGAATGGTACGCAATTTAAAGAGAATCACCTGCGTGTTACGCCTGCGGCGAAGTGCGGTGAAGTGAAAGGTGTTGATAATGGGCAAGCAACTAGCGAAGCCGACGTTAAGCGAACCGTATTTATAGGGAATCTTAAATACTGTACGTAATCTTCTCTGAAATAGTACTGTTTTAACAAATTCTGTATTGTTTGCAGCGGCTAGTGAACAAAAGTTGCGGGAGATATTCTCCAGCTGTGGCGAAATTGACTACATACGCTGTCTACAGGACGGCGAGAAGGGCTGCAAGGGTGTTGCATATGTTTGTTTCCAGAAACCAGATGCTGTCGGTCTAGCACTGGAGCTGAATGAGACGCTGCTGGATGATAGACCCATACACGTGGAACGTTACTCTGTGAAGAAACTGGGAGCTAAGCAGGCGCGCGATGCTGTTGCTGCGGCGGGAGCGCAAACCAAGTCTAAACAGAAACCAAATGCGGTGGGTGCTAAGAAACGCATAGATAAACGGCAAAAAAAAGAGCAAGCAAAAAGCCAAGAACCCGTCAAATCACCAGCTGGTAAAAAGAAATCTGAATACCGAGGCGTTAAAGTTGATGCAATCAAAAAGAACAAGAAGCCAAAAAAGAAAACTAATAGCCAAATGAATACACTGGCCAAGAAAATAGCGCCAAAAGCTAGTAATTAAGTTGAAATAATTCATTAGAATGTTTGAATTAAAATTCATGTTAGGCATTGTAAATATTTTACTGACAGCGGAACAAATATTGTTTGGGTTTAGATTGTCTTTCATTGCTAAACATTAATAAACCGAGTTTTTAAACAAGTATTTATAATTTATTTTTTACCTTAATTAAAATGTAGGGTGTGCGAAAATCGTGCGTTGACTGTCAAGCTGTATTTTCGTGAAACGGATTCTATTTTAAAATTTTTGAAAAACGTTCGTGATGTACAGAGCTATCGTTTGAATATAGTGTGACCTAGTTTTATAAACTTTAAAGCGATATCACTGTCTGGTTAGTGGCGATGTTTAGAGTGAAAGTATGTTGGACACGTGTAATTCTTATAAAACATTTTGCAGTTCAGGCCGAATAATAATAACAATCCCAATTATACTCCAAATAGACTGCTGTGCAGCCGCTGCACAATTGTATGTAATTGTATCTAGTAGCCGTAGCCATAGCAATGAGCTTGTCATCGGGAACGATTATTATTATTTCAGTCAGCTGTTTGTTACTTGGTTGTGTTCACTCACAAATTTCGTGTATTTGATGATTTCTTTCTGATTTGTGACTTTTGAATATTAAAAATTGAAGGTAAGCAGAAGTTATGCAACATTCGTTGAGATTCGCAAACATACGTTTATTCGCAGAATGAATGTATGTAAAAATTTCAAGTTTCTACGAGTTGCACGTGATTGTATACGCAACTTTGGCGGACGTGCGGTATCACCCAGATCAACAAATAATACATTCACCTTAGAGCCACTGCACCAGCGAGAACTTATTCGCGTTCATGGTGCGGAGGTAGTACCATTTCTGCAGGGTCTCGTCACCAACGATGTGTCGCGCCTGCAAGAACCGAGTGGACCATCATCGATGTATGCTCTATTTCTAAACCGAGGCGGTCGTCTATTGTACGATACAATTATCTATCGAACCAATGATCCGGATACATTTCTGCTAGAATGCGATCGAGATGCATCGTCGGATTTTCGACGCCATTTGCGCACATATCGCGTACGAAAACGGATCGACATCGACACCATTGATGATGAGTATGTGCCATGGGTGCTCTTCAATGGGAAGGGGCGCGGCAATATACGAACTCACAAGGCAATGGATTTGTTTATAGCGCCTGACCCGCGTATTGGTATCATGGGTACACGTGTCTTGGCTCCCGGCGATATAAATGCCACCAAACTAACTAAGGATTTATGGTGTCATCACGATGTTGTCGCTGTTAATTCCACGCCCGAAAGTAACTATAAGTTGCTCCGCTATAAGCAAGGCATCGGTGAGGGTGTAGAGGAGTTACCACCCGGCAAGTGTTTTCCGCTGGAAGCCAACGCCGACTATCTCAATGGAGTTAGTTTCAACAAGGGCTGTTATGTGGGCCAGGAGTTAACGGCTCGGGTTCATCACTCTGGTGTCATACGTAAACGTTATATGCCTATTCGTTTTACGGCGCCCGTTTCCAACCATTTTACGGTAAAATCTGTGGCTGGCGCGAATCTTGGACGCGTCTTTGGTCATGCACATAATCATGGCGTTGCTTTGTTGCGTGTCGAGCCGGTGCTGAATAGCGAACAGCAATTGATGCTAGACGGAGAGCGCTGCTATGTAGATCGTCCGAGTTGGTGGCCCAAGGAAGCTGTCAACAAGCGTAGCTTTGCTGCAATGGAATAAGCATTGGAGACTTGAATGGCTTTTACATCATTGTTTGCAATTTTTTCAATTTGTATTGTATATAAGAGATAGATTAGCTAGTTTATGAAATTGCGTTATTAGTTTCGTTGTGGCCTTCACTCTTGCAGTGCTCCAAATGACACAGGATTCGGCCGACTACGCCATTGAGGATGATGATCTTTGCCTTGACAATGAGGCGTCCGAAATTCAACGACTTCAGCTGACTGCTCCAGTGGAGCCACAAGCACAGGAAGATTTAGATGAACGTGTGGCCACAATCGAATTTCATTGCAGTGGTTGCAATATGCACGAAATGGTACATTACTATGGACGAACGCCGCCTTTCGCTCTAGGCATTAAATTTCGTGAAGACAGCTATGTGTTACGAGATCCCTTTCAGGCGCCGCCGCCGCGTTGGCAATCGAAACCAGAGTTCTACGTGGCATTGGGCGTAAAGTGTGCCAATTGTAACAAAGTTGTATGTAAGGATACTTCATGCAGTTTCTATTACACAAAAACCTTTTGCCTGGAATGTGGCAAAGTTGAACTCAAGAATTGGCCTGTGGAGGCGCAAAGTCGATTTCGGAAGCAACTGGCAGCCAAAACCCCATAACAGGAAAACCATGCAGGATTCTCACTTATAAGTAGGTCTTTAATATACATATACACGTAAATGCATCATATTTTAATTCTTGTTTTGAAAATGGTGAAATATATTTTGAATTCGTAACGAGCAAGTTAAACAGCTGTTATTATTAATATTTTGTTATCGATGTCAATACTCGATATACTTTGTATTGCATTCCCACCCGACGATAGGTCGCACTAATCAAAACATCGGAGTATCGATTTGTTGTTTAAGAAACAACAATCATTTGCTCATTCATTCAATTCGGAAGCGAACGTCAACCAAGTAGGACGCTGTTATCGCGTCTTTCCTATTGTTGACTCTATAGACCGTGTTTATTGTGTTCGTGTTTGTTTATTTGTTATATTGAATGAAAATGTATAAATAAATGTAATATTATGTGTGAGACTGTTATTTTATGAATAATGTTTTGACCATTCAGTGTTAAATGAAACGGCTGTCAATGCAGTTCATGAGAATTTGACATTTAAATGTTGTTGTTGTAACAACAACACAAGCGACTGCAGGCAAAAATTGTGGCACCGTAGCGGCGGCTTGTTGGCGTTGCGGCTGCTTGTAGACCAAATTCGCGGACGCGGACGCACCCACCCAAATCCAAAACCAAAGCCCCAATTCCAATTTGCTGTGTAACTAAGCGCAAGTGAGTGTGCCTGTGTGTGTATATATATATATATATTACGTGTGTGTGTATGCGCGGGCGAGGCAGGGACAGGAGCATGGGCTGCCCAGCCGGTTTCGTTGCGCGAGTTAATTGACAACAAAAAATAAGCAAAATATACATATACAAAGAAAGAAGCATAAAGCGTATGAGCAAATATCGGCTAATAAAGCATGCAACAACAATCGAGAAACGCTGCAAACAAATGCTTAAGTGTTTGTGCATGTGCAAGCACACACACAACTATATGCATGTTCGTTGTGTGTGTGCGTGTGTGCAGGTTTTCAACTGAAGCTGTTCCACGCCAACAACAAGAACAATAACAATCCTCACCATGCAAACCTGGCATTGAGTGAGAGGTTCCTGCATTACTTCTATAATTAGTACGGAGCTAGCTCGACTATTAGTTCCCACAACAACGCCTCAACTCAACCAACAATACCCGCCCACGCATTGAGAAACGCCATGCAACGTCCGGACCAGCTTCAATTGGCCATTCTTGTGTACCTCTGCTGCTGCTGCTGCTGGTTGACAGTTAATGCGCACAACTGCCAGCACCAACACCCCAAAGCCCACGAGGTGAGTAGCAGACTCCTAGACCCCTACACTGACTCCCCACACCCAGTCCATCATTGATTCACCTCGAAATCCTTTATCCGTTGATTTGCAATTTGCCATTGTTCATTTCCGCCCGTGTGCCTGTGTGGGAGGCGCGTGTGTGGCCTAAGCTCGTCATTAGATGTTAACTCGTTATCGAGTTCGGGGAAACCTTATAATTAGCTCCCAGCGCAACTAATTAGAGCATTTGTGCGTATAAAAAGCTATAAAAACTCTGCTCTTCTCGCTTTGAAATTTATTCTTGTTATTTAGATAAAACCATTTCCAATCTAGTCTCGGGTATACGAACATGGAGGCTGATTTAACTGCATGAGCTACTGATTGACATGAACATTAACATTTGATTGCCCTTAAAAATGAAAATGAATTTGCAATAGTTTCAGAAGTGCTTGCAACTAGTTCTGAATTGAGTTTGAGCTGGTTTCGAGGAGCTGCAAGAATAATAAACTTTTGAATGCGTTGCCACTCTAACAGATGCTGTTGAAATCTGATTAATATACACACACATAGATTTGCAATTTTGACAACAGCTTCAGTTCAGTTCAGTTCAGTTCAGTTCTCACACATCAGCCTCGCGTGAAGCTGACGACTGATGGATGGATTGACTAAGCTCATTTGGTAATCGCATCTGACTCATATGATTCAGTGCAGTTTCATGCAACGGCCTCTAACGGTATGCCAGTTACCGAATCGCCCACAGCTCGAGCAGAGCGCGTGGCTCAAACCGGCTGGCGCCCGGTTTAATGTCCGACACCTGTTGCGTCGACTCGATGGCCAAGTGCAACGCATGCTTGCAACGTCGCGACGTTCTAAATGCAACCGACATCCATTTTAATTGGCGCACTCGCATAAAAAGGAAAAAACCGAAAAGGTCACCGACAATTGCGGTAAAGCGAATACATAATTATTGTAAAGCTAACGCTGACGCTGGCTGTGACCGGTTCAGTTACTGAGAATTGTATCGAAAGATATATGTATTTCTATGTATATATGTATTGCATTTAAATGAGAGTCTGTAGAAAGCGAGTCGAATTACAGGGCAATTAACCTTTTAATACCCTGGAATTTTTTTTTGTTTCAACTAAAATGACAAAATAAATAATCTTTATATATGTATATATATGGTTATTATAATAATAATAATCTTAAATATACGCTTAAACAACCACTACGTGACTAATCGTAAAAAATAGTTTAAAATGTTTTTAGTCATTTTAAACGTGTTCTAAGAGGGCTAATAATTAGCTTTAATATAGATCAATTAATTTGATGGGCATTTGACCAAATTTCAACAAAAAGTTGAGATAATAAGACTTTTAGAGCGTAGCATTGCGTCAATATTTTTAAATGTTTAAACTTTATTTAAATCTCTAGAATAGATAGAGATCCTTAATTCTTATAAGTAAAATTGGAGTTCATTTGTAAAGGTTTTGAAATATATTATACTTCTGATGCTTTCTAACCAATCTATTCGCTTGAAATCAGAGGAGCGAGAAATTTGTGGTCTTCCTCAACAAATCACCTTTTTATTACAGGGTGTAGCCAGGCCACCTACTATTTAGGGTCAATTTCTGCTTCAGTTTTTCCGCATAAGTAATTAATTTAATTATTTGTAATTTGAACTGTGTTATATGCAGGCATCCCCCTCGAATTCCCCGTCGCGATGCTGCCCGCCCAGATCCTGAGTTATGCGGTGATTGCTCGGATTTATACGAGTATGTAAATGTGGATATAAATGCGGGCACTGTTGGCGACTAAGTGCCAGCCACTCGTACACCCGTACTCCCGTCCATCCGACCAGTCGTGCCAATCAAATACAGAGCTCTGTTTTAATTAGACTTAAATGAATTGAAACAGGGAAAGGCAACAAATTGAATCATCTCTCTGGTTGCTCAATGCTGTTGCTGCTGATAGCCACTGAGATAAAGCAGAAAGATAGAGAATAGAGATAAAGAACAAGAAGATGCTTATGTATGTGTAGCATTCCATAGATTTTAGCCTAAGATAACAAATTTGTTATATATAAATAGTTATTATTGTTTTAGTTGAAATTGGCTGGAAATAAATTGGAGCGAACAGCATTGTTATGATTATAATGTATGTGATTTAATCTATTGGATGTGCATTCCTTTAATTTGTTAATGATTGTTTATGCCGTTATATGCCTCTGCTCTATATATGTACATTTGTTTTCATGCTTATTAGCGCCGCTCTCCACAAAGTTTATATATTGTATTTATCGCAACATTTTGCTGTGCAACATTCAATGCTCAGTCGCAATAATATTTCCATGAGCACGGTTGTATATATTCCGTCTATGTAACTAAACTTCTATTGTGCACTCAATGCCAAGCAAAATTACCTGAAGACCTCTTGAAAGGTTGTCTCCAGTCTGGCCGGTAGCAAAACTGGGGAGGTTATTGGAGCTAACATCTTTGACCTCGAAATTTGTGCACAGATTTCTGTTTTTGTTTGCCTTCATAATTGGCAGCAGGTTACAGATTTGCATACACACACACGCCTTTGGATTTATGAATGTTGAACGTGGGTGTATGTGTGTGTGCGTGTGTGTTTTCTGTGTGTCCTTGCAAATTGCTGTTTTGCTGGACTGGACAGTGGTAGAAAGAATTGTAATCTCAATTGCAGCTGCAGAAACTGTACGTGAGCTATTGCAATTGTTCTTTTTATTCTAATTAAAACATTTGAATTCTCTACACATTAATAAACTATGTGTGTGCTTGTATATGGGGAAGTAAGTAAAAATAAACATATGCATTTACAAATACATTTATGTATATGCATCTGTATATTTTCTTGTTAAAAGTTCTGCTAGTTCTAGTTGAGTTATTCAATAGACGTACTTTCAACTTAGGGCATTTAATATTCAATATTAGGTAAAGAAATTATTCCTTCTTTTTATGTACACACTAATTACATGTAATGATATAAATATGTATAGTAGCTAAGCTCATTGAAGGCGTTGTGTAAACAAACGGGCAAATAAACAAGTGCGAACGATAAAATCGCACAACTTATCTCCAGCTGATGCTGTATATATTGCTGTATGTGTGTGTGTTCGTGTTTGTGTGTCTGCAAACTAACAGAGAAACAAGTTTGTCGAAAGCCACAGAGTAGCCAGCCAGTTAGTTGATTATGCTACATAGCTGGAGGCTAATTTTGAAACACACGCCAGGTCAATATTATGAATTGGCGSTTTATTTATTTACATAGCGCAGATAAAACGCAACAAGTTGACCAAAAACGACAACTGTGAATGATGCAAAGTGTGTGGCTTAGTCCAGAGTCCAGAGTGAAATACTTTAAGTAGGTGGCAACCTTGAACAGCTACACTCCTCTCTCTCTCTCGCGCGCTCATCCCTCTTTCGCTTTGTTTGTTTTGTCTATTCACTGTTCAGTCCCACTGCCCATCGTCTTTCGGTTCAGCCTGCATTCGCACTACGCCTCTTAATAATGTGATAAAATGGAATATTGCAAAACGAATTTAGACGCATTTCCAGTGAACTTCAAATTGGATTTGAGTTTGTTCTCAATTATTGTCACGGCTTTTGCTCTCCTGCAATGCTACGTGCCGGTCCACGCAAATAATGGACATGGATACTAAGTGCTTCATGCTAACGCACAGAATACCTACATATGTATATATACAGACATATGGGTCTACAAATGCAATAATAAACGACCATCCGATTTTATTCAATTTACGCCTGTTAGCCACTCAAATTGGAAATAATTCATTCTAAACATTGCCTCTGGCAGAATAGTGTGTGTGTGTTAATGTACGTCGCATGGCAACTGCATAAAGTTTGTGTGTGTGCGTATTGATGTGGTTAGTTTATTAATGTGCCTTTGTGTTGTATTCATCACTTTAATTAAGTAACATGTCCGCTGCGGTCATATTGTGAGGTAACAAACAAATTGAGCGCGAGAGAAGCAAATAAACCATAAAGTAGCACAGCATGCAAAGTAGTCGCTGATCAATAATGCATGTACAGACAGGCACACACACAATGGCACAGACACGTACATTTGCATGTGTGTTGCTTGTAAAAGAAACAATTAAAGTGGCCAGGGCTACAGCGAAGCTTGAACGAAAGTGAAAGCACATGTACTGTTATCGCACTGTCTCGCTCACTCGCAGTCAGTCAAGCTTGAAAGCTTCGATTGATCTGGCCGGCACTGCGGAAGAGCGCCAAAGTGTTGACAAAAAGTAAAGACGTGTAGAAGAAGAAAACGAGAGCAAGAGGAAGAGTGTGCGAGGCAGAGAGGGAGAGTGAAATGTCGTCATGGTTGGCCTGGCTCAGTGAACGATTGACAGATTGACTACACGACGCACGTAAATAATTACTTAACATAGCGCCCGCTCGTCTCTGCTGTTGATCGATTCACCTGCTCAAATTAGCATGCGCAACTGTTAAGTGCCCGGCGCCCACTGCTCGGCTCGGCACATGCGTGCAACAGATCGTGTTTACGGTTTATGGGCGTTTTTGTTTGTTCGTTTGACTAAAAATGCAAAGACGGGAGTCAGCCAGGCGCAGCAAACGGTACATTTCTCTTTTTTTTTTATTTTGCCCCGTCCTCCTTTATTTGCACACCCCTGACCACATTTCTATCGCCTTAGACGTGAGTCTCATTGCAAACCTGGACACGCTCGACTGTGACACGCAAAAATAAATTTCGTTAGGCAGTCGCAATTTGTGAACTACTTGAGCATTACGTCTTATCTCAGATTGAATAAGCATATTTGCTGTGGTTAGAAAGTGTGGCGGCTGCTCCTGTACCCATTCCATAATCATTAATCTTCGTTTCATCTCAACTTTTTTCTCTCCTAATATATTTATGTATAAGGTAATTGAGATCGGCTTGATAGTGGGTGTAAAAGCCGGAGCTGAGTGGAGTGCAACCAAACAAATTATATAGTCATTAGCGCATTATGTTTTAGG